CTGGTACATTTATTTCACTCGACCCCTGCCCCCTCATCTGTGCTATTCGAGACGTAATTCGTCCATCACTGCACATGGGCGATTAATTAGAGGCTAAAGCCTCAGCGTAAGTGTCATGGTCACGCCTTTTCTAAATTGACCACATCTCTTGTAAAACCTACTGTCAGCCAAATGGCCCCAATCGCCGCCTCGTCTATCCTGTCTCTATTCCTAATACCAAGTCTATGAATCGCCATGCCCTAATTTACAAGTGGCATTTACATGTGGCAAAGGCGTGACCATTAGACTTACTCTATTCTAAGGCTTGAGGCCTGAATTAGTCACCCAGGTGCAAGTGATGGACGAATTACGTCTCGAATAGCACAGAGAAATACATGTACCAGGGAGATAGCAGACGGATTCGACGAGGCAAGAGGGAGACTTTGATAGGACCCAGGAATGGACTACGTAATAATATGACAGACTATGGTCAACATTCCCAGCACAAGGGTCAAGGGGGTGATAACGACAGTGTGGAGTTTGAAGGGTTTTCATGAATGCCGCTCGAAGGAGCAAACTACACTACATCAAAATAAGCACGGTAAAATTTGTGACAGGGAAGGTGTGATGGGATGATTTAGGAAATGTGAATAGCCCATGGCAGAAGGGGAGATACCACAAAAGTTTAGCACCCGTTTGGTCAAAGGATGGGCTCGAATTAGTCACCCAGACGCAGGGTAGGGCCAATAACGTCTCACTCTATTTGGTGTAAGGTGTGGAGTGCTGGCAGTTGAGTTTTCCCGTAATCGTATGAATAGAGCTGATTTTTCCATTGAATTTCACATAGCCTTGCTTGCCATAAAAGTGTTCTTATCCAGCCTGAACTGGACTGAAGTTTCGACCTGGCTTAGATCGATGAAGCAATATTATATTCGCTATAACATTCGACTACATTACTTATTTTTCATCTCTTCTCATCTCCTCTCATCTCGCAGGATCAAACAAAAGAAATAAAAGTGTTTTAGGGAATGATGCAACTGTTAGATCACAACTGCATTCATTTCATTTTTCAACAACTAAAAAAAGTATATCTTCGACCAAATCATGAGATACCACACCAAGTGGATTTTGCGAAATTATACAAGGTAGGTAAAACTGCAGCTGGCCACCTCTTTTGTTTTTGACCTTGGTGAATTATTGCAAAGCATGGTGTTCTGCTCTGACTACCAGTATTCACATAATTTCGTTTAAATTGATGAATAACTGACGGTTAGCATGTAATGATTACACATTGCCCTGCAATG